TACAATAAGATTTGGCAATTGTAATTTTCTAAATCAAAACTATATCCAAAATCTGAAATAAAAATACTTTTTAGCAATTCAGAATGCTGAGTCTACATTTATACAGGGTGAGTGTTAGTTATAGAGAAGACTATGTTACCTATGTTAAAAGGGACTTGACAAAATTATATAGTGAGTATAATTAGGCTAAGTTTTTAAATAATAACTTGTGCACACTATTGACTCAAAGTCCCCCGGTGAGTGAATTTGGCTAAGTTTTATAATAATAACTTGTGCACACTATTGACTCAAAGTCCCCCCATGAGTGAATTTGGCTAAGTTTAAAAAAATAACTTGTATATATTTTTGACTCAAAGTCCCCCGGTGCATGAAGTTTGGCTAAGTTTTTAAATAATAACTTGTATATATTTTTGACTCAAAGTCCCCCCATGAGTGAATTTGGCTAAGTTTTAAAAAATAAGTTGTATATATTTTTGACTCAAAGTCCCCCGGTGCATGAAGTTTGGCTAAGTTTTTAAATAATAACTTGTATATATTTTTGACTCAAAGTCCCCCGGTGAGTGAATTTGGCTAAGTTTTTAAATAATAACTTGTACACACTTTTGACTCAAAGTCCCCCGGTGAGTAAATTTGGCTAAGTTTTAAAAAATGGACTCGGGAAATTAGCTACACTCCTAAGTTAAAAGAAATACAGAGTACAAGCATCAATTACGTCACCAATTGATCCCATGACCCGACACGCGACAACATATTACAATAGTCTAGCTTAGATGTCAAAGACTTACCAAAACAAGAAGATCCAGGTGGAAGAGTGAGTGATGATACCGTAGAATGCCCCCCTTATATACCACAAAATTGTCTAAATTAATTTAGAACTTAACAATGGAAATTGAACAAACTGAAATTGAACAATTGAATAATTGAGGTCAATCAATCAAACATATTTGGTAATTGTCTAAACCTGCCCCAGACAGACTGGCGCCAGACAGGCAGAGAATGTTGACAATTGGTTTTGATTGGGGTCATTAGGTTACACTCACAGTCATTCATTTGAGTCGGGCATAGTTTACGCATAGCCATAAGCGCGCCCGAGTTCGCGCACAAACCTCACATGATTTTGAAAATATACATGGGAATGGATGTGGATTTGAAATTTTAATGGAGTTTGAACATTTGTATGGGCTTGTATTGGACGAGAGCCGGGTCTTAAAAAAAGTGGCCAAAAAAATGAGCCATATTCCAGACGTGATTTTTAGTATTAACAAAAGTAGAAAATTTATATAGGGGTGTATAGGTCGAGAGCTGGGTCTTTGAAAAAAGTGGCCAAAAAAAGCTCTTCCATTTTTTTCTCATTTTTCCCCTATAAAAAGTGCTCTAAAAGTGCCTCTAAAACGCCGAAAGTGGGGTCATATTCTTCTATTTTATCTACTAACGACTCCATTAGGTGATTAGTTCTATTGCTTGTGTCTGTGAGGGTAGGAAGAAGGGAACTGGTCGTGGGAGAACGGGAAGAAACCAACGCGGCGAGGGAGATCTTCCCCAGTCCTAATTTCGCACCCCTGAAATTATCCGCATGGCTGCGCCTGCGGACCCAGAACGGTCAAGGTCAAATTCAGTCCTGTTGTCACACCACCCTTGACCTTGGAACTACGCCCAAAAAGGTTCCGCTCCTTTTCCGACCTCTTTTTTTGCTCATTTGAGCTGATAATTAATAATGTGTTGGGGGCTGGTTGAGTTTTGACAAGCCATACATGTGTTTATCAGCACATCGTGCGGTAAGAGACGGGCCGGATTCAATCAGGAACGGGTATACCCTTGGGGACAATCCCCTACCCCATTTCCCTGGGGCCCGACCTAAGTTTGCCCAGCACCGGATACCTAAAGTGCCGGGGGTCGCCCGTCGCAAAGCAGAGCCCGACCTCTTCATCCATGCCGCACTCCCTGACCATGGACCGAAGTGGCTGGCTTCTCACGACCCGCTGAGAATACCCATCGGCAGTGCAGAGCACACATCCACCCCTGCAGCACAACAGGGGCACTCCCAGTGAGGACGTCAGTCACTCTTTTAGTCACCTCTTACCACAAGCCCGGGAAGGCTGCAATCCTATTCTAACCCCGAAACCGCCCGGGAAATTATAATAATAATAATAATATTGTTTGTCCATTGGTTTACATAAATAAGATGCCTATTTGCAGTATCCAAACTCAATGGCATATTTGGTTCACGAACTGTAAATCACCGCAATTGTCAACTTGCACTATCCTAAGTCAATGGTTCATTTGATTCTCATAAAAGGAGTGCCTTTTTGGCGTATCCAAAGTCAATGGTAAGTCTGGTTCACGTCAATGGAATGTCTACTCGTTGTATCCAAACTCATTGGTATTTGTATCTTTGGTTCACATTAATGGAATTCCTATTTGCAGTACCTTTTCAAAGTCTGCAATAATGGTACGTCTAGTATACGTAAATGGAAAGTCTACTTGCAGTATCCAAACTCAATGGTAGGCCTATATTTGGTTTACATAAATGAAATGGCTATTTGGAGTATAAAATTCAAAGGTGCATCAGCCTTTTTCCGGCGACCGTAATGATTGGTTATTAATTGTGTAGTAAATTATGCTCAAAGCTATTAACCCGATTGTTCTTCTCTTTTCCTTTGTACGAAATTTGTAATATGCTTTCATACTTTTATAATTTATACTTTTATACATTCTTATTAAGTTTAGTGGCAACCATACAAAGTAGGTATTTTAAGCCTATTTTAATTGATTTGTTGACTAACATCATTGACTATTGCTAACATATATGTTGCGACTCCTGTTTACCTGTTTATTGTTATCTCGCAAATAATGTCATGGCAACCAATCAACCCATAAGGTCTTTGCTAAATTTATAATAGTTTAAATTTATGTAGGGAAAAGTTCTGTGGTCCGATTTGTACCATTTCAGATTAATACCTTCCCATGCCAAAATTATTCATCTGTTCAAATGTAAACAAACGTTTTCTCCATAAGGATAAACTAAAAACTTTAAAGGCCACTGGGGTAGAGCCCTGAAGAGTTTACCAAAATTTAATTTCACACACACCTTTCCGGTGGTGTATAGAACAACTTTTCAAAGTTTCGTTACGCTCGGATAGCCAGTATGGTAACGCATAAAGAACAAACAAACATTGTTAATACACAACAACAATATAACATTGTTGTAAAACATTGTTTTACCATTGACTGAAGATAAATACCCCCGCCGCAGCAAACCTGCAGACTAAGCGAATTTCAACTTGTCTGATTACATTTTTACTAAAATATTTCCATAAATAAGACATATTATTCCCTATTTAAATAACATTAGATTTAACAAGTGCTTAGGTTTGCTGCTACGGGGAAGGTAAAAAGTGTTTTTTGCATAAATCAATAGTATAGGATGAAATAAATAAATTTGCCAAATTTTATCAATATATACTCTTAAACAAGTAAACTACAACAATTTTCATTTTCTCCATAAGAATAACATTGGAATTTTTAATTACACTATTTTTGAATTTTCTCCGTGACCGTTAGGCATACAACAGCGCTTCAATATACTAAATTATTTCTTTTTTTAAGCTCTACAAAACGTTTTAGAAAGAAATCGCAAAATTTTTTGTTTTTAGGTTCAAAAATGGGAAAAACCCATTTTTACCCCATAAAACCCCCCATAATCCCCCGTTCCCATGGTCCGATTATGCTGGATCGCGAACTCGTTCGAATAAACGTAGGTTTACACGTTTGTACCAAATTTCATCAAAATCGGATCATTTTTGCTCGAGTTATCGTGCTAACGGACACACACACATATATATATATATATATATATATATATATATATGAATTCGAACAGATGGTGTTTTTGGCCTCTAGGGACCTCAAAATGAAAAAATTAGATCGATCTCGGGTCCAGGTCTTCCATATCAGAAATTCGCTAAAAGTAAACAGAACCCAACCAAAGTATATATGAATAATATATTTAGTTGCCATTAGCTGTATGGGCTTTTAATAAACAGCTGTGTCTAAGGAATTAGTCAGCCTTAGCTACTAACAAGACTACAAGATCGTGCCACTCATCCTACACTCATCTCCATTCATACATGGCTTAAATACCTACTTTTTATGGTTGTTATTTCATTGAAAAAGTAAATTATATAATACGAAGGCACGCGGCTGACAACGGCGTGTAATTAAACGCCTTCAACCAGAGAGACGCAATGACTCATCTTTTGGATTGTCCGATCTGACATATTGCTTTTTGGATCAAACGACCCAACTACGATCGAATGATCCAAAGTGAAACGGACAGTCTATTTCATATTCGCAGTGTAAAATTGTACTTCTGGTTATGACTATACTTATAGATCTACCGATTTGGATCATCCGATCTACAATATAAACGTTGGATCAAACGATTTTGGATTAACCGATCGGCAATCAAAATTTTGGATCATCTGATGTTTTTCATTTGAAGACCAGTTTAAGATGAAGTGCCAACCGATCAGACGGATATTTAACCATTGTTCTTAAAGTGTAATTTTCAACCTGTGAATGTACGTAACAATTTGTAAATAAACACTTATTCATTTCATATTTTATATTCAAATAACCTAGGCTATGTTTTAATAGTTAAGTCATTTTTACCAATTAGTAAAACCAGAAAGGAAGGCCAAAAGGAAGACGAACACTGGGGAGACAAAGATTGAGATGGGATGGCTAAGTTGCTTGGAACGTCAGAAGACTGGGAGCAGAGGTGGACGACGCAGAAGAAAGAGAAGGACGGAGGCACCTTGTTGGTGAGGCCAAAACACTTCTTGGATTTGAGTGGTCACAGGAGTAAGTAAGTAAAACCAGATACAGTAACGAGTTTAATCTTGATCGGTGCTCTAATTTCTCCATAGTAGGCTGTGGCACACAATCAGACAAACAGAAATTGAAATAAGACTCGTTTCGGCTTGCAAAATTATGTAAATTAAATATATATGTTATTTAGTAATTATGAAAAGGTAAAATAAACAAATCAAGAATGTTTTATTTATGTTTATCCATTTTTTGGTTTATCCGGTTTTTGGAGTGGATCGTTCCTATTTTGTCTTGCACAATCATTCAGCACTGGCCCAAGTTTCCAACCCTCCTCTAAGTAAGTTATGAAACGCAACTGAAAAGTAAAAATAAATTGATCTAACTGTCTTCGCTAAGTTTCAGCAAACAAAAATGTTATGTAATATGATTCCTTTTGTACTGTCAAATATTTATTCAGCTGTTTTATTTAAGACTGTTTTGTTTATGTATGTAATGTTTACAGTTTTGTGCAATTCTCTCATGTAAAATGTAGCTGACTATTAAGTTGAATAAAACCATATAAATTTGGTTTCTAAACATTTCTTTTCATAACAATTTATTCAACTTAATCTTTTAACTATATTATTACAAGTTCTTCTATACAAGTTGTATTCTATCTTTTCTATTCAAGTTTATTCCAAGAAATCTAAATGGATAAATTCTTCAAGCCGGAGCGCCTATCTTTAGACCCTAATGATCCCCATTCTGATCGTCAGTGGAAACATTGGAAAACCACTTTCAAGAATTTCGTGGAAGAAATATGTGCTGCAGAAGATGATCTACTAAAACTTCTAACTAATTTTGTGGACTACAACATACATGAAATAATCTCAGAGGCTGATTCTTATACCGAAGCTATATCTATTCTTGACAAACTCTTTATAAAGCCTACTAATGAGGTATATTCACGTCATCAACTGGCCACTAGAAGACAGGAACCTGGAGAAAATATTGATCAGTATCTTCGAAAACTAAAAGAACTTAGTAAAGCATGCAACTTTAAATCTGTCACTGCTAATGAAAATCGCAACGAGTACATAAGAGACGCTTTCATTCGAGGACTAATATCACAGTCCATTCGACAAAGACTTCTTGAAAATCTAACTTTGACTCTTGAAGAAGCTTATAATCAAGCCATTATCTTGGAATCAGCTGAAAATCAGGCGGTTTCATATATTTCAAGCCCTTGTAACTCTATATCTCAGTCAACTCCTAAAGATGTTGATGTTACTGATACAAATGTTTCTCAGGCAGCTTCTGATTCGTCTTCACACCAATTATCCTCGATAAGAAGAGAAAAATGTTTCTTTTGTGGACGGTCACGACACTCTCGAGCCAACTGTCCTGCCAAAGACTCAGTTTGTAATATTTGTGACAAGAAAGGCCATTGGGCAACAGTTTGCAATTCTCGCAACCAAAGTAGGACATTTAAGGGTAAAACAACTCAAAGTGATAAGACAGAAATAAACTCAATGTCTTCTTCTCTTGTTGCTGCCTCACAAAAATGTCTTTCAAAAGCTACAGTGTCACTGATGTTAAACGGCAAACCAGTAGATGCACTCATTGATACTGGGAGTTCCGACAGTTTTATATCTGAAGCTACTGTGAAAAGATTCAATATTTCTAAATACCCAACAAAGCATGAAATATCGATGGCATCAACAAGTCATGTTTCATCAACTCTTGGCCACTGTATTGTTGACATGGTGTGCGATGGCCACGAATACCCACTGACAAAGCTGCTCATCTTAACTGATTTATGTGCCGATGTTGTAATTGGACATGACATCCTTCGGCAACATTCTGCTGTGGAGCTGAATTTCGGTGGTAAACGCCCACCCTTCAATGTTTGCAATCTACTTAGGGCTAAAGTATCACCACCACCACTGTTTGATAATCTAACTAATGACGTCAAGCCTGTAGCCATCAAGTCCCGCCGCTACTCTGAAGATGATAGTAAGTTCATAAAAAGTGAAGTAAGTAGGCTTATAACAGAAGGAATAATTGAACCGAGTAAATCACCTTGGAGAGCACAAGTGATTGTGGTCAACAATGGGCACAAGAGACGTCTCTGTATTGACTACTCTCAAACCATCAACAAATTCACACAGCTTGATGCCTACCCTCTACCTCACATTGAATCATTTGTCTCTAAGCTTGCTCAATACAAAGTGTTCAGTACAATCGATCTGAAGGAGGCATATCACCAAATACCTATTCGGAATGAAGATAAACCATTCACTGCATTTGAAGCTAATGGGAGACTTTACCAATACACTCGAATTCCTTTCGGCGTAACTAATGGTGTGGCGTGTTTTCAAAGAACTATTGATCAGATTATAGAAAATGAAAATCTACTAGACACGTTTGCTTATCTGGACGATGTAACTATTTGTGGTCGTAGCCAAGCAGAACACGATCAAAACCTACAGAGATTCATGGAAGCAACTAAAAAGTATAATCTTACCCTGAACAAAGAAAAATCTAAGTTTTCGTTGACCAGCATTCCAGTTCTGGGGTACATTGTAGAAAACATGTCCATGCGTCCTGATCCTGACCGCCTGCAATCACTCTTGAATTTCCCCGTTCCAACTGATAATGCAAGCCTTAAAAGAGCTCTTGGCATGTTGTCCTATTACGCAAAGTGGATTCCTAAATTCTCTGAAAAGGTTCATTGCCTTACTACAGTCAAATCATTCCCAGTAGGCAGTAAAGAAATATTGGCCTTTAAGACATTAAAAGAAGAAATAGCGAACTCCAGTATGTCTGCAGTTGAAGAGAATATTCCATTTACTGTAGAAACAGATGCATCTGAATCAGCTATAGCGGCTACCCTTTCACAAGCTGGAAGGCCAATATGTTTCTTTTCAAGAACCCTAACTAAGAGTGAACAACATCTACCTGCTGTGGAAAAAGAGGCCCTCGCAATATTCGATTCAATCCAGAAATGGAGGCATTTCCTGATTGGAAGACGGTTTAAATTAATTACAGACCAGAAATCTGTGTCATATATGTTCAATCAGAAACACGCGGGAAAGGTTAAGAACAACAAGATTTTAAAGTGGCGATTGGAACTAGCACCTTTCTCTTATGACATAGTGTACCGTTCTGGCAAGGAAAACGTAGTAGCAGATGCATTTTCACGAGTTTCATCTTCCATCTCTTGTAGAGATTTCGAAAAACTCCGTAGAATTCATTGTGACATTGGGCATCCTGGAATAGTACGGATGGTTCATTTCTTAAAAAGTAAAAATCTCCCTTACTCTATCGAAGATGTCAGGCGAATGACCGCTTCATGCTCTGTTTGTGCGGAAGTGAAACCTCGGTTCTACCAAAAAACCCCATCAACACTCATCCATGCAATGGCTCCTTTCGAGAGACTTAACATTGATTTTAAGGGGCCAATACCATCTGTGACAAGGAATAAATACATACTCACGGTTGTTGATGAGTTTTCAAGATATCCGTTTGCTATTCCTTGCTCGGACACATCAGCATCTTCTGTCATCAAAGCACTTACATCAATCTTCACCATCTTTGGTATGCCTGCTTTTGTCCACTCCGACCAAGGTTCTGCTTTCATGTCAAAAGAACTGAGTGATTTCTTACACTCTAAAGGAATCGCCACTAGCCGATCTTCACCTTATAACCCTCGAGGTAATTCTCAAGCTGAGCGATATAATGGAACGATTTGGAAGACTGTATCTCTTGTTCTGAGAAACAAGGGACTGAAGACAGAACAGTGGGAGTATGTTTTGCCAGAAGCTTTGCATTGTATACGCTCGTTACTATGTACAGCTACGAATGAGACCCCACATGAACGACTTTTCAAACACCAGAGACGATCATTTTATGGCACCTCTCAACCTCAATGGCTCATGAATCCAGGACCAGTATTAGTGAGAAGGCATGTAAGAAATAACAAATATGAACCTTTAGTGGAACAAGCTCAGCTGATAGAGGCTAATCCAGACTATGCTCGCATCAAGTATAGAGATGGTAGAGAGGCTCTGGTATCGGTGCGACATCTCGCTGTTCCTCCTGAAGCTATCCAACAAGAGGATGAGCCAGTGACTTCGGAAAATCCCAGTCAAGAACTAGATCCTGCTCTTCAAGACCTGAGACGTGAATCAAATCTGCTTCAACCTGAAATTGGGAACTCTATTCAATCTGAAATCGAAACATCCCCTCTGCATGAGACCGTGACCCCTACTTCTGTGAGGGATAACGAAGAAACAAACCTGCGTCGTTCCACTAGAGTCCGAAGACCTCCCACCTATCTAAGGGATTACATTTAAAAAAAAAGATGGGGTGAATGTTATGTAATATGATTCCTTTTGTACTGTCAAATATTTATTCAGCTGTTTTATTTAAGACTGTTTTGTTTATGTATGTAATGTTTACAGTTTTGTGCAATTCTCTCATGTAAAATGTAGCTGACTATTAAGTTGAATAAAACCATATAAATTTGGTTTCTAAACATTTCTTTTCATAACAAAAAATCAGAAAACAATGTGACATATTTATTTTGTATTGAATGTGACACTTGCCAATGCCTATAATGGTAGTACCTACCATGTTCTCTGTCATGCAAGGTCTGCAAAGTATAATTTACTTTAAATTTTTTCTTTTTTCTTTTTTTTTTAAAGAGGTTGGCGGCCTCTTTTAACCTTACATTTGCCCGTCCACATAGACTAAGCGCCCGTGCGTGGATCGTTTACAGCAAAGCAAGGAGTGAGCCGGTACAGTACAAAGGTGAACTGTACTGATAAAATGTTATCGGCAGTGACCAGGATCCGAACCCACGACATCGCTGCCTTGGGCCCGAAGTCCGCGACGCTACCGACTGAGCCACCGACTCATTAAATAAATAATAAATAGGGAGAACCTATTTGCTGGTAGTTGAAGCACTTTCTTATCAATCTGTAAATGGCAATAAATCAATTTTATTTTATTTTATATTTGTTAAGGATTGTTTAATTTCATAAGGGTCTTACATGTTAATTCAAAGAGTATCTTGTGTAACGTGTTTTATGGAACTTTACATAACTATTATCATGTTATCACAAATATGTATCTGAGCAGTAATAAGAGCAGTAATAAGAGTTTTAAATATCCCCTCCCAACTTTTTTCTACATTTTTTTTAAATATCAATCCCAGACCACTTCCAAACATTGTTGGGTAGTAAGTACTTCATTTTGACAAGGTGGTCATTTTCGGCCGCCATCTTGGATTCGCCATATTGAATCCAAAATATTTTTTTCAAATGTAAAGGTGGAGTTATTATTTCGAACTAGATTTTTACCCTAATTACAATGCCACAAACCGTTTTTAAAAATCTTGATCCATTCCAAAGTTATGAGGGTTTTTATAACTTTATTTTTAGCCCATTTTAACATTGTGAATTTACAAAATTCACAAAATCCCAGTTTAATATTCAGTTGTAGAAGAACCACAAATGAATAACTATCCTATGACTAACTAGACATCATTTCCAACTGACTATACACTCTGGGCTTACTCACACTAAGCTTAGAGCATTGACTCTACCCCTACCTCTACTAAATTGGATATGTAATGCATTTATTGGTTAACCAGGTAGCGGAGCGGTAGAGGTGTATAGTCGATGCTTAAAAGTTGAGTGTTCAATACTTACTTTTCTATCTGCTTCCATGTACACCACAGGGTATTGCTTTGGCTCCCCTTTTCCTTTGCATATTTTCTGAAAAAACTCGGTGTCACCTTTGAGAACAGATTCCTTTTGTACTTTGAGAAAGACTGATTTTGTGTATAACGAACCGGTTAATTTATTCCAAAAACTCTGAAAAAATATAAAAGAACATAAGACAGTTTATTCAACAGATGTTCAATGTCATTAGCAACTAGATTGACAAACAGATTGACTATAATGTAATTCTGAATGTCCAGATGGGTATAATCGCTGCAGTAGCAATCGCTTGGATTAGACTTTGCATAGTTGGACTTTAGATTGGTCGAGAAGAAGCCTTGTAGTTCTATTGAAACAAGAGTACTGATAGGGGATTAGGGCAATCATCACTTGAGCCCTAGAAAAGTCAAGTAAGAAAGTGTTGTTTGTATGCGCCATAAGAAGATACTTCCAGATCACTTGCACTAGTCCGTGGCATCTTTTGTAAATTATATCCATTTTTAGTCTCAGGCTACAATCAAAGCATTATCAACTAGGAGTTTCGACTGTTCGAATGCTATTGCTATGTAACAGAAGAGTTGCATAGGTGAACATTTTTACATAAAAATATGCAAGTAAGCTATGAAATATTTTAACTTTTATTATTGAAAATCCATTATCGGATGACAAGGTGGTAGCTGGGAATTATCCCCAAGTGAGTATAGTATATGCATTATGATATTTACTCTATTCTCCTCAGTCCAGCTCTTATCAGGCGCTCTTGGCAAGCGGACCTCCTTGTCTGTTTTCCTCGTTGCGAACTGTCCGACTTATACCTGTCAGTGTGTCATGTTATTGAGATTTTTTCAATAATTAATAAATTACATACGTGGTTTGTGAAATCTTTGATATCTAATTGACGTTGGCTTGTAATAAAAATCTTTTTTTATAAATTATAAAATCTGGCTGTTTGATATGTATTGTTTAAACTATTGCTATTCAACTATTCAAACCACTAAATGTGGAAAAAGTAAACATGGAAGCATATACAGATGAAATGAATATTGAACTGGCGGCAATAGAAATCAAGGAAAGGCGAAGAAACCTTCTAATCTTAGGACTCTTTCTCAACCCTGCAAAACCTACTACACACTCACTCAAAACCCTGGAAGAAGATCATCATTATGGGCGATTCAAACCTAAATATAATCGACAAAGACAAAAGCAACATCAAAGACCTTACTGCTCTACTAAATATTTTTGACATAAGAATAGAAGAACTGCCCCATACCAGAATTACACTAACTACAAAAACTAGTATAGACTGCTGCTACACAGATATAAACCCTGCAAATATAAAATCCGAAACCACACAAAACTTTATTTCCGACCATTTCGGAGTTTTCTGCAAAATAAACCTTTTCAATCCTAAACCATCAAATATAAAAAAATACTCAAGACAAATAACAACTAAATCCCTCTCTGATGTAAAACATGCACTATCAAACGTGGACTGGTCAATAGTTTATCAACAGAAATGCACAGAGGAAAAATATAATACATTCCTAAGAACCATCGTGGAAATTATGCAGAAATTATGCACACATGCCAAAGACCTACAAAACCTTAAAAAATGACAATAATGGCGTAAATGATTTCATTTATGATGACAATATAAATGAACTACGACAGGAGATGAAACACTCACACCTAAAATACTTAACAACAAATAGGCCTGAGGATAAAGCTACTTTTACAGAAACAAAAAAGAAGTATGACTCCGAAATAAAACTAAAGAAAAGGTCAAAAATATCATCTAAAATTGAAGAATCAAAAAACAAAAATAAAGAAATCTGGAGAATCATAAACAAAGAAAGAAAAAAAAAACCCATACAACAGAGAAAATATCATGCTTAAGGAGGGAAATGAAATCATCTCGTGCCCAGAAGAAATAAGTGAACTTTTTAACGACTATTTTATCAAAATCGGAGGCTCTGCTGAAAACTCCCACAACAACAGGGAAATATTGCAAGAACAAGAAGAAATGCAAACCCCTCAAGAACCCTCACCAGGAATTCTATCAAAATTCAATACAATAAACAAAACCGAATTAAACAATATATTTAAAACTTTTGATTCTAAAAATGTCTGCGGCTTTGATGAAGTCCCAAACTCTGTTATAAAATACTGCAAGGAAGAACTAATAAACCCCCTACTAGACATCATAAACAGTTCAATCCTAAATTCACATGTACCTGATAAAATGAAAATAGCAACAATTTACCCAAAGTATAAAAAAGGAGAAAAAAATTTAAAAACAAACTGCAGGCCAATCTCAATACTACCCACCCTCTCAAAATATATAGAGAAAATAATTTTTAACCAGATAATGGACCATCTAAACGAAAACAACCTCCTAACTGAAAAACAACATGGTTTTAGACCTCAAAAGTCCATTACTACAGCAGTATTTCAATTATGTGACTCTATAACAAAAAACTGGGAAGAAAATAACAATGTCATAGGAATATACCTGGACATAGAAAAAGCATTTGACAGTCTAAACTGGAAAACCCTTATAAGTAAATTAAATGCACTTAACATAAAACAGGACGCTCAAAAATGGATCAAAAGTTATCTCACAAATAAAAAACAACAAGTAGAAATAGGCTACATAAAAAACAACATTGAACTTAAAACCAAATCTAAACTTCAAGATATGACCCAAGGAATTCCACAAGGAAGCATCCTCGGCCCCCTCCTATTCATCATATATATGAACAATTTTCCAGAAAACCTGCCAACAGGAATGGACTGTATTATTTTTGCCGATGACACCACAGTACTAATCCCTCGAGATCATCACCTCATAACTAACGGAGGAATAGAACATATTTTAAAACATATCGAACAATTCTGCAAATCAATAGACCTTTGAATCAATATCGCCAAAACTGTTACAATAAAATTTTCCTGCAAATCAAACCCAAACAAAGCCCCTTTAGGTAACTCAAACCCAAACCGATCAGACCATACCAAATTTCTGGGAATAGAAATAGACGAAAACTTAAAATGGGAACACCATATTAATTCACTGCAACAAAAACTGTCTACATCAATCTATGCTATGAGAAGGATAACTAACCTAACCGACTTTACTACAGCTAAAATTGCCTACCATGCACTCATAGAATCACACCTCCGCTTTGGAATTGTTGCCTGGGGCGTAGCAAGTACAGACCTTTTTCAATCAATTTTCATATTACAAAAAGAAGCAATAAGAACCCTAAATAATACCCACTATCAAGAACATTGCAAACCATTTTTTTTTTTTAACAAAATTCTCACATTAACATCCTTATACTTGATTGAAGTGATAACCCAAACAATGAAACTGAATCCCACTAAACGATCAGAAACACATAACTACAACACCAGAAAAAACCGATTTGAATCTACCGCAACACAGACTAGAAAAAACAGCAATAACCCCAACAAATAGAAGGATGAAACTTTACAATATACTACCACATCGGCTAAAAGCTATTACAGACCCGAAAAAATTTGCTAACCAACTGAAAAACTATCTCCTCGAACGACCCTACTACAGTTTTAATGAATTCCTGGATGACCATACTTTTAACTGAAGACAATAAAAAACCAAGATATAACTAAGAAGATGAAGAAAAAGATGACGCCTCCCCCAATCTTGATGACTGCGGAGGAGAAGAACAGCAGTAAGCAGTAAGCAGTAAGTATATCTGCGTGGAGGAACAACAAACCAGAAAGATCAAATGTCGCACAACACCTGTTACAAAATGGCCTCTCCCTAGGAAGAATGGAGGATAGTCAAGATATTTTAAAGAATTTTAAGAAAGGATATGTGATGAATGCTTGGGAATAATTGTATATTTATAAGGAAAAAAATATAAAAATAGAAATAAGTTGATTAAAGAACAAATACATTTTGATTCCAGTTGTACTTACAAAAATGTATTGGCCGGTGCTTACGGTAGCCAGTAGGGACGCCATTCAAGATTCTTGACATTTGCCTATTGGGTCTGATGATGATTAGAGTGTCCAATCGAAATCGATCACCACTTACCATCTTTTTTGTATATTTACCGGTTTTGTGAGTAACAGTATAAGCGTAAATATATGTTTTAAGTGTTATAAGACGTTTCTTTTATTTACTTTCCGTAAGTATTAAATCAATGTTATAAGTACTCACCACATATTCTTTTAGAGGACCATACTGAAATTGCTGATACTCCCCAACCCGGACATCATCATCCTTTTCGTAGTATATAGTAAATATACTTCCGCCTCTGTATGTCTCATGTCTCTTCTCCAAGTCGTCCTACAATCCCCAAGAGGTTAAACAACAGATGAATTAAATGTGGTTAAATGTGGCTTCAGTTGTCGTTCTCCAGGTTCGCTGTCTTCATAACCATGTTTCTATAAATTCTGGAGTTTGTGTAGGTATTCTAAGCCGAACTGTTAATAAAATCTCATAAAAAATAAGTGCAGGCCTACATTTACTGCCTAGGGTTACATTTTGCAAAAAAACATTAGAAGGACAAACATTTATCTTGCTTAAGTCCATTCTCTCTTTTATAGTTTGTGTTCCTTGTGGTTCAATTAATTACAAGAGCAAATTTAGATACAGTACAAAAAGTACCCCCTTCCTTCCACCCAACATGTTATTCATGTTGTTATTTATGTTGTTCATATGTATATGTATGTATATATGTATGTAGATGTATATATGTGCATCTGTATATTGTAATTTGTACAATGGTACCTATGGAGTTAAAAAAATTGAATCAATGCCATTAATCGTTTTAATGTTACTTTTACTTATTTTATTAAGTTTATATTAATAAATAACAAACACAAATTGAAATTATTGGACATTGTCTAAGTAATCAAACTAAACTTAACAGGTTAAGTTTAGCACTTTGCAAATGTACAATCAAAAATTATGCGGTAAATCAATCTAATCTGGTAGATACGGATTGCATATCAAGCATTCCACTACTTTAAATATCTAAACATTTTCTCCGCACACTCAAGTAAGTGTTTGTATTTAATAAAAAGTAAGTAAATGCATTGTTTTTCGTTCACCATAGTAGGAACTAATTTACTCATGTAAAAAAAATAATTGTTTGAAATCTGTTGTTTGGAAATGTATCCCAAATACAAAATTCCTCTTCGCTTGCCTACTAAAACAACTAGTTTACAAGCTGAGAAAATAGCTATATACTCACCTTATTAACAACATCGAAAATTTGTATCTGTAAACAAGTTTTGAACATTACTTGACTTAAATCATTATAAAACAAAACTGTAATAGTAAACCCTTAAAATATTGGTTCAAATTTGTTTACAGTAACGTAGTAGTGTTTTTTTATCATGCGATGCCAGCACCTTCATAAATTTCTATATTATGAGTAGCAGTTGCTCTAAAGTCAGATTTTAACACAAATATAAATGTAGGAAGTCTATGTTTGGGCTTAATGTTTTTTTTTTGTTTTTTTTATCTGTTGTAACATCATAATATAGGTACAGTAGTAAATCCTCAATCCAAACCCCAATAAAACAGATTTTGTTTTTGCAGATCGAGATTTGACAGATTACGTTTTATAACACTTTTTACACCAATAAGTCAATAGGCAAGAACCAATAATCTTCATTTATGTGTTCGTGGAAAACATTACAAAAGTCGTCACATAGAATGTACAATCAATTTGGGTTGCTACATGTTACAACGGTACAGCCACACCTAAGATGTATAGAGTAGAAGACTTGTACTCCATACATCTTGAGCCACACCTACACAAGCACAAATTAAAGCTACAGTTACTAAAATGAAAATGGAAAATCACCTGGTGCCGAAAAAAATTCTCCTGAAATGCTCAAAGCAAATCCAGACCTAATTTAGATCTTCTACCCTTTGCTAAAAGAGATATGAGTAATGGAACGAATACCTGACTATTAGAAAAAAGGCCTACTGATTAAGATCCCAAATAAAGGAGATAACTCAATTTGCAATAAATGGGGGGGGTATTACATTGCTCTCATAATGATTGAGCAGAGCTCAGAATACCAGTCGCCAGTGTATCTGGCCTTTGTGGATTTTGAGAAGGCTTTTGATTCCATTAGTAGAGGATCAGTTTGGAAAGCTCTAGTAAAGTTTGGCGTCCCTCCAAAGATAATAAACATCATAAAAGAAATATATAAAGAATACAGGTGCCAAATTATCCACGAAGGAAAATTGTCGGGCCCTTTCCAAATTGGCTCAGGAGTCAAACAGGGATGTTTGCTCTCACCAATGATATTTTTGATGGTCCTAAATGGAGTGATGAGGGAGTTAAACTTCCTCCAGGGAGGCATTTGAGTTCCATATTATTGAAGACAACCTTTGTAAGAAACAACTAACCCGCGTAAGATCACTTTTAGATAGTTTTTGGCAGCGTTGGGTCCACGAATACAGACCCTGTTTAAGAAGAAGTTGCAAGTGGCACAAAAGAATAGAACCACCTCAATTAGGCGACTTGGCTGTATTAGTAGATGAAGATAACCAAATACATTCATGGTCTCTTGGACAAATATCAGTCATTTACCCAAGTAAAGATGGTGTTATAAGAATTTGGGACGTTAAAACAACCAAAGGCACATTCCGGCACCCACTTACCAAGGTCGCTGTTCTTGGGGGGAAGAAAATGTAATAATTTATTGCCTGCATTGGTCTTTATGAATAATTAATTGATACCTACAACATATGTTCTTTATAATAATATTGTAAATATTGTTTGCCCACTTTGTTAAATACAGATCAAGTTTAATAATTGTCTTAAGTCTTGTCTTTGATATTTTTAACATTTGAAAATGTTTTATTGCCTGCCTTGGTCTTTCTGGATAATTAATTGATACCTACAACATGTGTTCTTTATAATAATATTGTAAATATTGTTTGCCCACTTTGTTAAATACAGATCAAGTTTAATAATTGTCTTAAGTCTTGCCTTTGATATTTTTAACAGTACACATATTTACAGATCCGTTGGATTTATCACGGTTTCGAGTATCGTATGCATCAACTCTAACAAATTACGGTATTAAATAAAATTATGGCAGTAAATTATCAATTATCAATTAGTTAAGATGGGGACGCCACTATGTGCGTATTTTAACCCAAATATGAGTGAAGGATGAGTGTAGGATGAGTGGCGCGATCTTGTAGTCTTGTTAGTGACTAAGGCCGATATGTTCCTTAGACACAGCTGTTAATTAATAGCCCATACAGCTAATGGCAACTAAGGGACCTACAGTTTATAGTGGAATCCGAACCACATTTTTCCTTGTAATTTACGAATTGGTCTAATTATCAGGATAGTACTGCGGATAGTCGTAGTACTCACTAGTGCGGACGTTAATCCACACCAGGGAGCATCGCATCCACAGTGCATCCCTATAAATATCCACAATTCGTGACCTCCTAGTAGCTGGATTACAGGACGACGCCACCCGTCCCAGTCTTAAACCTGGCTTACCTTATTTTCCATTTCAAAATAAAGATTAGCTCCATCCTGAGCAAAGATTTCTTTAGTCATGGGATCCAACCTATCAATGTAATCATCGTGAACAATGTCTTTCCGCAAAATCAACACAATGCCGTTTCTTACTTTGTGTCTGGCAAACTCGGCCGCAGCCTTCATCTGTAAGAAGAGTGATCAGTATCGCTGGACTTGAACTAGACACGAAAAACAAGATACAAATTTTACAATTATAGGATGAGAAGTTGTGGATTTGTAAGAACTTACTTATATTGGTTATTGGTTAGTCTATGATGTAACCTAGTCTTTATAAATTTCATTGATATTGTTGTTCATTTTGAAATTTCTTATTTCGTTGTTGCCACTCTTTATATAACCTTTAAATTTTACATTTATCTTTGTCAGTATTACATGTTTAGTTACACCTTAATAGTCGTATGTCTCTTTCGTCCTTTTACCTCTCTAGAACAGCCAAACGGGCACAGGGGACATGAAAATAAAACAGTAAATCTGTCCTGACACGAAACCTACAGTAATAGATAATTCTATAAATGATAAATTACCCAAAAGTAACTAACGTAAGTCATAATTTTAGATTGAGAATACTGTTCTTACCTTCAATTCAATAGGTGAATTGCCAGATTCATAGATTAAAAGTACAATATTTTTGCCCTTGTAGATTTCGTGCCGATTGTGAAACTGTATCTATAACACAATTGTTAAACATACTCATTAGAATAAGTATACAAATTTTGTTGTTTTGAGAGATGGATATATTATGAGTTGTCAAAGGAAACGGATGATTTAATTTTACAATAATGATTCACTAGATAGTGCAGTTATTCTGGGTCAGCTTGCACTCCAAAAATGTTCAATTTCACCAGACTATAACACTTCGTTTTGTAATATGGCTCGAATGGAAGCTCATGAGCATATTATACCCCCACTGACAAGCCACAGTATGAGTAAGAAGCCTAATTAGTCTGTGTCATTGACTGTCAAAGGTGAACGTTCCTTTTTAAACAACCATTTACTATGCCATGAAACAGCTGTATGTATAATCCATATACTATTATAAAGAAGAGGTGGTGTCTCTCTGTCTGCCTGTGTGTCTGTGTCTGTATCAGGTAAACTAAAAAACTACTGAACCTACTGGGCTCAAATTGGACAAAAATGAAGCTACAACTCAGCCGATACATATAGAACTATTCTCGCTTCAATATTGACCTAGGACTCCGCCCCGCGGGCTTTCAAAGTTCTGAGGGGAGAGTTTTAAAAGTAAATATTAATTGGTCTGCATGGTAACAAAAAAGCAAACCCACAAAGTTTAATTTACACAAGCAGAAGTGTCAAATGAATTGTGATTTAACAGATCCATACAGCTGGTTTAAACATATTAAATACCACGAATACTAGTAGTACGCTTATTCTGCGCGTATAACGGGACGAGTGACCGTGATCGCAACAATAGAAGAGTCCACCCGCACTTACATAAAATCTCAGTTAACAACAATCACAACTTCTCGTTCATTAATTAACCGAAGTCATTGGTAAAATTTGTATTGGATTTCCAACAATTATCGATAGGTGGTAAATACATCGTTAATGTACAAAAAGTCTTTTGTAAATTCATCTTTTTAAAATTATACACACCAGTTTAACTGATTCAATAGTTTTTTAGTCTAGCTCATACAAACACATAGACAAACAGACACACAGACAGACACCACCTCTTCTTTATAAATAGTATATATATGGATAATAGTTATTGATGTATGGATATCAATCAATCAATTATTGAGATGGGGACGCCACCTAGGTGCGTATTTTAACCCAAATATGAGTGAAGGATGAGTGTAGGATGGTGTGTGATGACCTGTGTAGCTTTGTTACTGACTAAGATCAGCGGTTTCATTAGTCAGGATCATTTATTTAAAGCCCAATGATCAGGAACAGCTGGGTCCAGTTTCGAACCATCAAAAAGCTACTAACCTTTCTCAGGATCGAACCGGCGACCTTTTGATTACTAGGCGAGCACTATGACCACTCAGCTACCCAGCCAGTCAAATAGATAGAAATAGATAGTCAAATGGATAGATAGATAGATAAAATGATTGCAAATATATTTCTACATATTTGTGTTAATACGCTTTTTTCTAGTGTCTGGAGCGTTTGATTACGTTTTTATAATTTATATATTTTCCAATTTTTACTTCCATTTATTTTTTTTATATACAAATGTATGCAAGATTCTAGTTTTTTCTGTTGCAACATGGATTTGCCCCCAGGAACTTTTTCCAGTCAACATCTTCACAAAAAATACTTTTAATCCAAGCTATGGAACCTGTGCACGAGTCTTCAGGGAAAACCTTTGAAATACATGGTTTTTAACTCAAACCAATTGACATAGTTGCGGTACGAGGTTACCTAAGAGTCTGTCGGTATAAACGACATTTCCAGCTGCCAAATTTATTGAAAAATGCTAGAAGCAGCCAGTAAAACTCGTCTCCCCCTAATTACAAAATAACAAACTGTGTAAACTAATTCATTAATATCATATTTATGCCAAAAACTTATCAAAGAATGTACTGCCTTTCAAGGTTATCCCTAACATTTAACATCTACCTACGAATAGAAATAAAAATAATTTGATTCCCTACTGACCTGTGTACGTATTTCGTCAACTTCAACCTGGAAAATAAGGAAAAAATTACGGAAAAAATTATGGATTATACTCATAGACAAATATGACGTCAGTGGCCCGAATGTCTATACTGCTAATATCCGTAACAGCTGGTTTCTACATTTGTGACAGTCCCATTAATTTACATATTAATAAAATATCTTTACTTTAGGGCCAGTGACGTAACTAAAAGCTGTAACTAATGGGAATAATAACCCTGTTAATAACACTTTGATATAGTACAAACTTCTTGAAAATAGTTTGTAATTTTTCAGAAGGTGACTTTGGTTTTGTTGTTTTCAACAAATGATTCCCGATCCCGACTTACCTATAGTCGCATTAAGTTGCCCAAGTATATATTCGACATTGATAAAGTAGCCAGCATGGTACATTGCTCATCATCGTTCCCGACAGCGTTAGACCTATCATCGTTGAAAATGACAAGAAATAAAAATCCTTCAACTAAATGTGGTATCTGTAAAAAGACAGTAAAAGACAACTGCGATGCCATTAAGTGTGACTCGGATTGTGACTTATGGTTTCATGCCAGCTGCCTTGGGATGAGCTCTCAGGAATATGAGAGCCTGTCAGGAACTGATGCCAAATGGTTTTGTGAAAAATGTGCACTTAAAGACTCAAACAAAATGCTCAGGAATGAAATCAGCAATCTTACTCAGGTAATCACTGCACTACAATCTGATATAAAAGAATATAAACAGTTATACGAAGATACGCTTCGTCAGAACACATGCCTAAGTGAACTTGTAATTGTGCGTGAACAGGAAATTGTAAAATTAAATGAGGAGACTAGTTCTCTTTCTAAGTCAAATCTTAGTGGAAGGCCTAATAAGACTCCGTCCACCTGGACTATTAACTCTGTTCAGGATTTCCCTCCGATCAACTTAAGCAATAGATTTGCATGCCTGCAAGAAGAAGAAGAAGGTAACATTGTAGAGGAGACTAGGCTGACTTCAAGCGGGTCGCCTTGTACAGCTCAAGAGCGGTCATACGCCTCCAAGCTCGTTTCAACTAGAAAAACCCGAGCAGTGAATAGGCCTACTACTTCGAGACCTATTCTACCATCTGCCAGCACACCAAAGCAGCCTAACCTGAACCCAACAAATGCAAATAGGCCTAGCAAAAAGAAGAAACCTAAAGAAAGTAGACCTACTCAACTCGTTAACTGTGCCGACAACTCCATAGACCCAACACATCTGACTGCAGCTGCGGACTTTGGTAAAACCCCTTCTCCATCCGTTATATCTAAACCAAATACCAATTTAAACTCTAATGTTAGTTGTACCACAGACTTAAATGGGCCTAGGCCTAGTTTAGATGGTGACAGGAAAACTAAAGTAGTTATTTTTTGTGATAGCCATGGTAGGGACCTGGGACTTAACCTAACAAACAAGCTTGGTGTAAAGTATGACGTCATGTCGTACTGTAGGCCTGGGGCAAAAATGTTTAATGTTTTGGAAGACGCAAACAGGCTAACTAAATCTATGAACAAAAGTGACTTTGTCATTATAATTGCCGGAAGTAATGATATAAAACCTAACCTCAAAACTGTCATCTCCAAAAAAGTGGCGCTAAAGTTGGAAGACCTCAAGGCCAGGACAAATGTAATCTGCTCCACACTCCCATTGAGGTACGACAACCCTGTTCTAAATGAAGTGGTGCACCTTTGCAATAAGGACCTCTATGACAATCAAATCACCGGAGACTGCGGCTTTGTCCCATTTAACACTTTCCAGAGAAAACTGTTCACCCGTCATGGACAACACCTTGATAAACTAGGTAAAGCTAAGTTTTGTAATGAATTGGCTGGCTGTATATTTAGATTTAGTAAACAAGTAGGCATAAGACAATCTTTTTTAGAGTTGAACTAAATGATCCCGAAATTGTAAGTAACCTCAATAATAATTGGTCAAATTCTCAAATCATCACCAAGTATGAAAATGATAGGCCAGTTAGTAGTAATGAACAGTTTTTAACAGTTTTACAGGTTAATTGTCAATGTATCAGGAATAAATTATTAGACATAGAACATGTATGCCAATTACAAAATGTAGATATAATTTGTGCCTCAGAACACTGGTTAACTCCAGAGCAAGCCGATATGTTTATTCCACAGAATTTTGATTTGGCAAGCATTGTATGTAGAACTAATTTTAAGAACGGAGGCTCAGCTATATATGTTAAAAAAGACTGTCATTACCAAAAAATTGATCTCGATAGGTTTTCCTCTGAATTACATTGTGAAATTTGTTGTATAAAGCTCACCAATGAAAATTTGATTGTAGTAAGTTTGTATAGGTCACCGAATGGTGACTTGCCCACTTTTTTTGTTCAATTTAAAGAGGCAATGAAATATGTTCTTAGCTTGGGTAAAAAAGTAATAGTCTGTGGGGATTTCAATATTGAAATGGCAAAACTAGATGAGCAAATCTCAATTAATTTCAAGAATTTACTGCGGTCACTTGACCTGGTAGGTAGCAATAAACTCCCAACAAGAAACTATGCCTGTTTAGATAATGTTCTAGTCAATTTTACTCAAGATCTATATACAATTTCAGTTCTGCAAGGTGCTTTGGCTGATCATGACCCGTTGCTTTTTAAATATTGTAAACCATCATCCACAAAAACTCAAAATGCAAATCGACCTACATTGTTTGTCAGAAAACAAAATAAACACAATCTTAATCTTTTTTGTGAGGCCTTACAAAATGAGTCCTGGCAAAACATTGTGGACAATGAGAATAGCTCAGAAGCTTTATTCAATAGTTTTTTTAATCAATTTGTTGACCTTTGGTATTATTGCTCCCCACTTGTAAAAAAGAAACTTAGATCTGATGGTAGGACTCTTATAAAGAAAAATAGATTTAATTGGTACAATGATAGTTTAAGGAAAAGTAGGGAAACCATGCTAGCTTATAATTCCTTGTACAAGAATCTTTTAAAAAATAATTCTGTAAAGGCTCAGGCAGCTTACAATATTTATAATAACTTGAAAAAACAATATAGGAAGGACTTAACCCTTGCTAAAAAATCAGCCTGTGAAAAATATATTAACAATTCCAAAAACAAATGTAAGGCAGCCTGGGATATAATAACACAAGAAAATACCACCACACGCACATCTCATGTAACACTTGACCCTAATGAACTAAACACATATTTTACAGATTCTTTTGAGGAACTGGTCAACCAAGTTGGCCAAACCCAAACCACACCCAGTGATCTGCCGGAATCCAATAAACAATTGGACAACATTTCCAAATTTAAATGGACATTAATCACACCAGATGAGGTAATAAAAACAGTTTCAAAATTTTCAAATTCAAAACCATGGACCATTTTTGGCTTTCAAATTATATAATCAAGAATACTATACACTACATTTCTACACCCCTCTCTACTGTATTCAATAGTTGCCTCCGTAATGGTTATTTTCCTGATTTACTTAAAATTTCAAAAGTAACTCCAATCTATAAAAAAAGCGATAAGAACCTTTGTCAAAATTATCGTCCAATCTCAATAGTTCCAATTTTATCTAAAGTTTTTGAAGCTCTCATGTTGAAACAACTCAATAATTTTTTTGATTCCAATAAGTTGATGTCTGACTCTCAATTTGGTTTTAGAGCTGGTAGATCAACCACTATGGCAGTCTCTCACATTTCCAATTACATTATTAATGCTTTTGTTAATAAAAATACTGTGTCCATGCTTCTTTTTGACTTAACAAAAGCTTTTGATTGCATTCCGTTTGACATTTTGCTGACAAAACTCAAATTTTATGGACTTAATAAAAACTCAATAGACATAATTGAATCATATCTGACCAACAGGAGGCAATTTGTTAGTGTGGAGGGTAAAAACTCAACATTGACAGCAATTAAAGCAGGAGTTCCGCAGGGCTCGGTCCTGGGGTGGGTGGGGTTTTTTTCAACAAATTGCCCCAATGTACAAGAAATTTACACACAAAAAAATTCTCCACTGTTGTAAAAAATTGGCTCACTCTAAATCCTTTTTACCACATATCCGAATTTTTCAACTGTGACAAAAGCAATCTGGTGGTAACCATTTGAGTCATTTTCAGGTACACCTGCATGGTTTGTGCATGTTTTCTTGTTTTGTTTTTTGACTAGAGCTTATTTATTTGAATTGTTTCTTGATGGATTTGATTTTGCATGTTTTGTTTATTTAAATGACGAGCCTATTGTACTTGTTGTATTTAATGGCAATAAAGACTTTGACTTTTTGACTTTGACTGGGCCCTTTTCTTTTCATTGTCGCAGTTAATGATCTTCCATGTAACATCCCTATTGACAGTGTTATATATGCAGACGACACCACAATTTTTACTTCTGATAAAGATCTTATAAAGCTCTCAGAAACACTTTCTAATGCAGAAAATAGTGTTTTAAACTGGTTTTCTACAAATAAACTCATCTGTAACCAATCCAAAACCCAGAAAATAGAATTTTCACTCTCTTCAAACAAATTAGACCATTCAGTCAAACTTCTGGGCATTCACCTTGATAGTAAATTAAATTGGAAAATTCACATCACAAATTTAAGCAAAAAACTATCGAGAGTTTCATGTCTATTCTGGAAACTCAAGTCTTTTGTTGACATTGAATATCTCAAACTAGCCTACTTTGGACTGTTTCAATCCCACATTCAATATGGAATCCAACTTTGGGGCCATTCCCCCCATGTTCATGAACTTCTACTAATACAAAAAGAAGTCATCCGTACTATGTCGGGGGCTGGCCCTGCGGAGCACTGCAAGCCACTTTTTGTCAGACTAAACATTTGCACAATCATTAACTTATACATCTACAATGTACTTATATACACTAAAGCTAATCTCAATGAGTTTTCCACCAGGCAGAATTACCATTTCCACCATACACGAAACAAGGAACAACTGGATATACCACATCACAGGCTGGCCATCACAAGTAATTCTTTTAAACTTAATTGTGTGAAATTTTATAATAAGCTGCCCGAGCCTCTTCAGGCAGATAGCCTTTCTCTTCCTCTTTTTAAGTCAAAAATTCATAACTGGCTCATAGCTAACCCATTTTACTCAGTTAAGGACTTCATGAATTATAAAATTAAAGCCGAATCTTTCATACTGTAAATCAAAACTCTCAATCGTTATTCTTAATCTTTATTATCTATAGATATGAACATGTTTAGTGATATTTTATTTAATGTAATTTGCCTATTCCTATGTACAACTTGGTCAATGGCAATAAACTTTCTTATTCTTATTCTTATTGTCGCCAGTACATTAACAAATTTCAGTAATTTTTTATAGCGATAAAATTTTGTTTACATTACTTAAGAAATGCCTGATTTTCTGCATTACCTCTCTGTCACAATTTTATTTGCTTCAATTGGTAATAATTTGGCTAGTTATTACTGTTATAACGTAAGTTATATTTACCTGAAAAATGCAGAATTGAAAGGCCTAATGTTGTTCAAATGGTTTTTTGTTTCCCTTGAATGTGAAAAATGAGAATCGTTCAATACAAGTTTTATTGGTTTCTTGGATGTAGTTATATTATTTTATAAATAACTTCTTGATCAGCATTGCACGTGTTATTAAATTTACGGAAAGTAAATAAAAGAAACGTCTTATAACACTTAAAACATATTTTTACGCTTATACTGTTACTCACAAGACGGTAAATATACAAAAAAAGGTGGTAAGTGGTGATCGATTTCGATTGGACACTCCAATCATCATCAGACCCAATAGGCGAATGACAAGAATCTTGAATGGCGTCCCTACTTATACCCTATTGGCTACCGGAAGCACCGGCCAATACATTTTTATAAGTACAACTGGAATCAAAATGTATTTGTTCATTAATCAACTTATTTCTATCTTTACATTTTTCTTATAAATATACAATTCTTCCCAAGCATTCATTACATATCCTTTCTTACAATTCTTTAAAATATCTAGACTATCCTCCATTTTTCCTAGTGAATGCCCATTTTGTAACAGGTGTTGTGCGACATTTGATCTTTCCGGTTTGTTGTTCCCCATGCATATATGTGGTTTTTGAAGCGGTTAACGAAGTTCACAGTCTGTCCAATGTAGAAGCTATCACAATCGTTACAATTGATTTTATAAATGCCTGAAGTGGAAGTGTCGAATTTGTTACAATCTTCTATTTTTGGATGCAGTATTTTACTCATGGTGTTCTGAGTCCTGTGGGTCCAAAATGGGCATTCACTAGGAAAAATGGAGGATAGTCTAGATATTTTAAAGAATTGTAAGAAAGGATATGTAATTAATGCTTGGGAAGAATTGTATACATTTATAAGGACAAATGTAAAGATAGAAATAAGTTGATTAATGAACAAATACATTTTGATTCCAGTTGTACTTATAAAAATGTATTGGCCGGTGCTTCCGGTAGCCAATAGGGTATAAGTAGGGACGCCATTCAGATTCTTGTCATTCGCCTATTGGGTCTGATGATGATTGGAGTGTCCAATCGAAATCGATCACCACTTACCACCTTTTTTGTATATTTACCGTCTTGTGAGTAACAGTATAAGCGTAAATATATGTTTTAAGTGTTATAAGACGTTTCTTTTATTTACTTTCCTATTATTTTATAATCACTTGACTTTTATGAAAACATATATTTAATATCCTTGCCGTACCGGTTTAATTCGGCCTTAGAGGGGTTTCCTTTGCCAATCATAATAAAGTTAAGTCCGTGTTTCCTACAAAATAGTAGCACTTCGGCTAACGTCCTTGTTCATTTTTTGTGGGAATCTTCATATTGTAGATGTTATTCATTATAGGTTGATAACGATAGTATTTTTTATGTATATTTCTTCTACTTGGTGGCGTGCTATTACTTGCCTATGTTTCCATAGTTAACAAATCGGAACTTTCATTGATTGTCAAGAATTACAGTACCCTGTCAAATTAATTTTTCTCATTTGGTAAAATAGGTAAAATATACAAATGAAAATTAAAATAGTAAATATTTATTATCAAGAAAAGTTTCTTTGAATTGAAAAATAAATAACAGCAATTAAATTATACAGCTGATCAAAATGTAAACCATTATGTTCTTCATAAGGATAACAAGGGAACTTTAAAGCCACTGGGACAGAGCCCAAGGGACTTTTTCGAAAATGTAAGGCCAGTTTGCAAATCTACGCGACACGCTCATTCCAATGAGACTTCAATGGATAACATCGGTTAAGAAATGGCTGAGCAATTACTTGGTCAACCCCAATTTTTTTCATATTTTACTACGGTCATCAGTAGGTTCTCAGAAAGCAAGAAACATATAATTCAAGGCCCGCAAGGCCATCGTACAGGTTGCCGAGCGATAAGAAGGTTCAAAGTCCAAGCGATAACAGTGGCTTGCGGGAGACGCGCGGAAGGCCAGTTGTGACAGTACCGTTATGGCTATGGCTAGTGGTTCCTCCGACAATCCTTTTCTATGTGACGGGTGTGAAAACACGTTACTTAGGGCTATCGGTGAAGTTTACAACGGGGAATCGGCGCAACAGAATGTTGATCCAGTTGCCGCTGACTCGGATGAGGACGTTGAACCCGGCGATTAATGAGGTAATTAATAACCTAACTTAACCTAACCTAACCTAACTTATTATGTTTTTTTTAGTCTCAAATACATCTCTAAGGCCAATTGTAACAGTACCGTTACGTTAGGTTAGGTAAGGTTAGGTTAGGTTAATTAATAACCTAACTTAACTTAACCTAACTTAACCTTGCGGGGCTTGAATTATATGTTTCTTGCTTTCTGAGAACCTCCTGATGACCGTAGTAAAATATGAAAAAAATTGGGGTTGACCAAGTAATTGCTCAGAATTACCGAAATGGCGGATAAGTTCAACCGACAAACTTCGTGTCCGCGTATTAATTATATAGAAGAAGAAGATAAATAATTCCACTCACCTTCCAAAAAGCGTTTCCCTTAGCATAAGCCTGAAAAACCATTATATGTGCTAAAATATTTTTTTATAAGGTAATAGTATTCAATTTCTATTACTAATATCTAAATATTTTGATCACATTTCCACAGCTGTTTGTCACCATTTCTATTGTTCAATGAATCAATGCGATCGATTTTTTCAAAGCTTTATAAATTTCATAGCTTTCTAGGATGTCATCACAGGGCCTTTATTGCATTTATGTAAAATGTATAATCCTCCATTGGAACTTTTTATGGAATGGTTTTCTTTTTGCAGGTGTTCGGCAATCTTAGAACGCTGTTAATTCAATTTAGGTTTATGGAGATGTTTATAATAAAATACCAATATATTTTTTATGATATAAACCAAACAAAATAGCAAAACTTTATCTTGGCAAAAAACAATGTGCACTAGTTTTGGATGAATCTGGTTATGGAACGTTAAAATTAAAAACTACAGACGTATATCCCACCTAAATATTACTGTGGTATTCATTTTGTCTGACGACATTTTAAAAATGCGAAGAATACGTAGTTTTAAAATATAATGGTATAAAGTAGGTCTAATTAGTACATTTAAATTACGATAAGTTATGTACATATTAAAGTACGTAGGGTGCAACTATGTATAGTGAATATTCAATGATCAGACTCACTCGCCAAGTGCCAAGTCCAGGTTGTCTGTCATTCTTTATTGTCTGAAAAATATAAAAATTAATATATGATAATTTTATTGGTTTTTTATTACGGTACTTATAAAAACTCAAAATTAATGATTAACCACGGCCACCTTTAAAGGGCCTTTAAAGGGGGCCGTGGGTTAACCCTCAATATAGTGTATATACATGTATAGTTATTTTCATTTTGCTGTAGGAAGATTTATATCTAATCATATACAAGTCAAATTCCTCACTTACGGTCTCAAACAGCTTGAAGTCTGTAATTCGGTAAAGTCTTTAGTCTTTATTCAAGTTTAAAATAAGACAATTAAATACTCGTGTGTTTTCATAACGGCTACACATTTTCAAACTAACTTTTTTAAATTCCAGGTTTTTAACAACTTACGTCGGGTATGTCAATCGTTTCCCACTGTAAAAAATAAAAAAAAATATGTTATGTTATTACTTTATTTCTAGTGAAAATTACAATCTATCATGATAATGTAGTAGCATTGACTATGGGTATATATAGTCAATGGTAGTAGTTGTGTGGGTTTTTAGATTATGAACCACATATTCAATGATTGGTGGCTTTTTATGGTGCTTTAAACTTTGTAATATACAGGGTGTCCCACGAAGAGGTTTTAAAGTTTGATTTTTATATTACTTGCCCATTTATTGACTGAACATTTTGAAATTTTACACAATTTATTAAGTAAATTATATAAACAATCTGACCAAATTGGAGCTCCCTAATCCTTGTAGAAACAAAATGGGGGCATTTTGAAAATGTACTGATTTGTTTCCTATAAAAATCACTTTCTTGAGATTTTATCTTAATTTTTACTACGTTGCATATGATACAGACATTACAATGACCGAGAATAGATATGCACAAGTTTTAAACGAACATGTCTTGCCTCATTTTAAGGTTCTAGAAATTGGATCAAGCAGTCTTCCAACAAGATGGTCCTCCACCTCTTATCACAAATCATGCCAAGCAATACTACTAAATAACAACCTTCATGGCCGTTCGATTAGAAATTGAAGTGATTTTTTTTTTTTTTTATTTTGGCCACCCTGATCCTCAGATTTGTATGTGACTTATTATAATGGAGTTACTTGAAAGAACAGGTTTATACCCATAGCTTCAATAATGATGAGGAAATAAAACTATCAATTAAGAGGACTTTCTTCGTATATCATCATAAATGTTCTTTAACTATACTAAATTCTTAAACATGAAAATACATTTATTTATTACAAAAAGATTTTTTTTCCTTAATGGAGTGCCCCCAATTGGTAGCCTTGCTTTCATTATTTATTAATTGTCTATCAGCTGACATGCGTTTCAGTATGCTCAGTTGCCCAGTGCCCACACGGTTTAGTTTTATTGGGAATTTTGATTGTGAATTTTACTCAACATGGTGTGTTTACAAGACTATGTATTGTAGAAGCATACGTGAAAAGTAAAATATCCGTTTAAACCCAAGAAATGTTTGCAATTAGGGTTTTAAGTGAGATTTTAGCTTAGTTTACTAGCTTAGCTTTTAGTTACTGAAAGTTGTATAAACTGTAGAGATCAATAATACAATACATACGTTTCCCATTTACGTGCATTATCATTCTTAAAAATGGTTTAAGTTTAGAAAAAAATTAGTTGAATATTATTCATGATACATTTCCAATAACACTAAACTATATAGATAACAATGTATCAACGCTATATCAGGTAATCAGTAATGAAGTAGAGGAAGCATGACTGCAAACATATGAGTTACTTTTGGCAGTAAATAGTCACCCTATTTCTTACTTGTAATTAGGAATGGGTTACGTTAAAAAAAAAACATCCTTTATTTCACAAAACCGTTAGTAACCATAATAACAATGGGTTAAACTAGACCTGTGTGGAAGGTTGCCACAGGAGAAGTAGATTGTTGAACATCTGTCTCCTAGAGACGGCCACGTCATGGGATCGAACTAGTGAAAATATTAGATTCGGATTCGTTTTCAGCAAAGAAATCCATGATGAGTGTTACCTACAACTTCACAATTGAAACAAAATAAAATGCAATCACGTTAACTATAGATTTCTGTAACACATTTTAAACCTCATTCAGTATTTCCGTAAGTTCAGCCTTCAGCGTCTCAGTCATCTACCGAAGACGAAGATTCGATACACTCAGATAAAGTCCTACTATAGTCACTAGTCAGTACCATGCTTTTTATTACAACATGGCTAATATATTATATAAGTGCAAAGTTGATGAAATACATTCTTTAACTTGAACATTAGAGTATTGTTCTATATACCTCTGGATGTGCGGCTTCTTCTCCATCTATTGCAACAGTCTCCCGTTGTAGCAATGCCTGAAACGAATAATATTGTTTCACTATGAATGTCAAAGATTCTTGATTTAGGTTTTCGAGATTCAAGAGCTTAAATTATATTTTTTTTTTTAGTGTTCGAGTGTTCTTGATATAATCACCCTATGTCCTCTTTGCCAGCAATGTGTGGCATCTTTAGAGGGTCTTCTTATATTATCTTGTTACATCACTAACACTAACGTCTATCTACAATACAGTACAGTAGTTACAAAACATGAAAGTCGTGTTCGGACAGAACATACTTCTTCTGTTCTGTGGCGTGGTTTAAATAAAAATGTTGTCTTGAAAAACACGAAAAGTCGTACACAATTTTTGTTTCATTAATGCTTTCTACGACAGTTTTTTTTAAGTAGCCGTTTCAGTTCAGCTCTTAGAATTGAAAAGTTTCACACAACAACATTGTTTACTTACATAACAGCATAGTTTTCCCATAGATAAAACATAACCCCTTGGTGTTGGTTAGTCTATGGTTTTACTTAACAACACGGATAAACGACCAATAAGATTCAAGGATTGAGAGAGAAAAGCAAAAATTTAAATCATTCGAACTTCAACTAATCAGCTGTTCAGGCCAATTTAATTATCGAGTGGTGCAATTAGTGTTTGGTAAAACCATAGACTAGTATGTTTTATCTATGGTAAAACGTTTCGTTGCATCACTGTCAGTGGCAATGAGAGTTTATAAACGACAACATAACCTCTCTTATAAGAGTAGTATTTTTAGTAATTAAAACACTGTCGAAGGTAAAGTAGTGTACGCAACTCGCGTAAATAGTGTTAACGACACGAGTAGACAATTTAACATACGAGCCTTCTATTACACGATTATTTTTTATCAGCTTCTACTAGTTCCAATTTACGAGCTATTCAAAACCATTTAAACTAGGTTTACGCTCATTCTTCCCGCATGGGGATGGATGATACGCGAAGATATTTAGTGAAACCAAAACATAAAACATTATTTGCAAACGTAACAGTAAAATATAAAACAACGCTACTTGACCAAGAAAAAAAAACAAGCAATAATACAACATAATTGAATAATACGATGCTTATGATGTTGTTTTCTGCTAAAAATTATAAATTTAGTCTTGGTGGTATTCACCATCATGTCATTGGACAAACCTGAGCTGAGAGACATCCTCTCGCAAGAACTTACATGGAGGGACGCAACTTTCACAAACAGTTTTATATCGTCAGCAAACAAAAGAAAAGGGATCTTGATGACTCTCTTGATGACATCTATAATATTATAAAGTAGAGGTGGTGTATGTCTGTCTGTCTGTCTTTGTGTTTGTACGCGGTAGACGCAAAAACTACTGAACCAGCCGGGCATTAAGAAAAAATCGTGTAGTAAATAACAACAATATTATAGATTTTCTTTTTTTGCAATGTAAAATATGTAATCTGCATGTAAAGAGGTCTCACCCTAATCGAAGCATTTGGATTAGGCGTATCTCTTGTATATGACATTGATAAAAATCAATGATTTTTTTCCTAAGCACTACAGTACCCTTAGATTCGTTTTACCTAACAATTGACTTACAATATTGATATTTTCTTAAAAGGAAACCTACTTATAAGTAAGCGTATCTTTAAACATACAGTTATATCAGTCTGCATACAAAAGTTTCATACTTAAATGACTACTTTTATATCATCCCAGGTACTTGTCTAAAATATGACTGGGACGGGTGGCGTCGTCCTGTAATCCAGCTACTAGGAGGTCACGAATTGTGGATATTTATAGGCATGCACTGTGGATGCGATACTCTCTGGTGTCGATTAACGTCCACACGAGTGAGTACTTCGACTATCCGCAGTACTATCCTGATAATTAGACCAAATCTTATATACCAGTTCGATAGAGTGCTGTTTTTTTGCGAAAAATTGTTATTAATATTTTTTTAGTTCTTTAAAAGAGACTTTGATTGATTTAGTAAAAGTCTATTAGCCAGAAACCAACTTTCCAGCTTTCGGAATTATTCTTTTATGAGCTGTGGAAACATTGATTTATCTGTACGGATGAAGATAGCAGAAGTATCGTGAGCAAACATAATCAATTCGGAATTAAGGTCATGGGACATTGACATAAACCAAGAAGAGTAGCCTAAGGGTACAAGAATGGACCCATTTATGATTAATCTATAATAAGACTTAATCCCCAGTGACTGCAAATCTATACACTGTTGATCCAAAATGGATATATGCCTATCCACTCGAAACTCAAACTGATGAGGGTAGCGGTTTCCAAACTGGTCAAACAAATTATTATTGCTTAGGGGTGTTGCTGTTTTTAGATGATATGGTGTTGGTTGACAGTTTTGTCAGTTTCAATGCCATAGATTACTTTGAAAATTGTAGTTCTAGTGTAGTCTTCTTTATAGAATGTGTTTTTATTTATATGTTTGTATACTTGGTGACTTTCTTGCCTACTCCATCTAATTATTTTTAGTGAGTTTTGTTTACGATATTAATTGTGAGGTAATCGGAAAAAATATATAACTTGACTTATGAGTTGGGTTTTGTTTTAGGTTTTTGAAAGTCAACTAGTTATGTTGACTTATGCTTTCTAAATCGTTGGAAAATGTTCTGTCGGTGAGATTTATTATTTCACGTGAGGTCTCCTCAATAAATTATTAAAGGGGGTGGCATACTCAGTCTCTTATGTTTTCCTGTTAGTCCTACTTGAAAGAAGAATGCAATGGACATATTTTTTTTCTCTTTGCAATAGAAATTTCCTAACTAACTAGAAATTATCTTATCCTATCCTCATTAAGGCATTTTATATGAACTAGTGCATGAATATTGGTAAAATACACAAAATATCGGTAATATGGGTACTTACCAACACGTACACCACAAGAACATGATGCACTAGCTTCATGTTGGAGATGATGAAATTGATTGAAATTCACTCCAACTAATACCAGGCAAAATAACTAGTTTATAAAGTTAAAAATTCGCCATTCCCGTGTAATTGCACCACCAACTGAATGTGTGCGTCATTTGCTAATGATTCAATCCATGACTAGCAGCTGTGGCCCGTCCTACTTACGTGACTAGCACACGTGGCCCGGTAGCAGAGCCAATCAGAGAGCAGTATTTCATAAGCCCCGCCTCTCAGAACACTGAGTAATATCGTGAACACAGTATGTAATATTGTTCAAATCAGTTATTAGCTGTCATCTGTATAGTTGTGTTCAAGGTCATGTACCGTAATTTTAGTAACTGGCCTGGCACAATTTTAGTCTTGGGATATTATATTAAATAGGCTACCAAATGATTAATTGATTGATTAAGAACTCAAACCTAAACGTGACATCCTACAGAAAAATACTTTTTACTTAAATATAATTTTTAAATAACTTCTTGATGAGCATTGTACGTGTTATTAAATTTACGGAAGGTAAATAAAAGAAACGTCTTATAACACTTAAAACATATATTTACGCTTATACTGTTACTCACAAGACGATAAATATACAAAAAAGATGGTAAGTGGTTAAAATAATCCATAGGTTACAAACCCATTTCTCGTTATCATGCTTTCAAATTTGGTGTGTAAAAAGGAAAACTGTTATAAGAAAAATTGTTGTAATCAACATTAAAAGGTGTACAGTATCACCGACATACGATCTGGATTGAGTCAAATGCATATACATGTTTGTTAAGATGTAAAGTTCAGTGTTACAACTTCTGAGTGACTCTTGTTGACATACGAGAGTAATATCAAAGTTGAAGCAAGAGTTGCATTGTTCAGAACCACTTCATACGTAAACAGCAAGTGCTCGCGTTGAGAGTTGTGGGTTTTGCAATAGCTATTGAATGAAAACATTGTAACTTGCTTCCCATTAAAAACTAAAGCTTGACTACAGCATGTTTCCTTTCCAGTATTATTTACTTTCTACAAAGTGGCAGTTTCAAAGGAGGAATCAGAGCTACACAACTGCATTTTGTGAGAATAATTGTTTGACTGCGTCGAGGTCACAAAAATTGTTTCTCATCTTTAAGCATAAACTTTACGAAGCACTTAATTTCTTCGGTTGTAATACTAGAGAAGACAGTGTCAGAATTAAATATTTTGAAATATGCCATTCTATTTAGCAGAGCTGTAATTTATCCAGTAAACAAAAATAACGAATTATTGTTCAATCAATACTGTATAATAGCACTCCTTTCACTTTATATGGTATGTGAGGATATAAAATCTATAAGGTAGTATGTTTAGGCCATGTTATACCTATAACGTAGGGCGTTATAAATTAAAAATCAATATGTTCGACTTTGTAAAACTTTACCGCTGATTTCACATCGCTGGTGACTTCATTTATTACTTCCTTCGTACTTTTAAAATTACACTATAAAACATTAAATACAACAACTGAAGGTGCCGATATATATTTTTCACCACACTATGATGCTTTTGGCTGTATTACATATAATACGTTAATTGGTGGCTGAAAGTTACGTTTTGCTGGCCATGCCAGCTGTCATCGTAATTAGGGGACCGAGCAGGTTTTTACATCCCGGGGTCGCAAAATCAGCTGTCCGCTTACTTACTTAAAACATTAATGCATTTTAAATACACAATCAAAATCCATAGCATTGCAATAGAACTGTGTTATTGTCACCGTTGCCTAGCGACTATTTATTTTTATTTTTGCTGATTCCTCAAATTATTTCTTCACATAACCTTAAAGTTGTAGTTGTGTTGAGAATCAGTGTGCATTATTATAGTGTTGAATAGTGGTAATAGGGTATAGTGTGGTGAAAAATAGCGTTCGTACCACTGACCGAAATGGTTTTGCAGCTCTTGATCGATTTAAGTTATTGACTTCGTCTCGAACTTAAAAACTATCTCGAGCCGGCAAAATCTCATTTTCGGCCCTAGGTACGAAATATACCATTAAAAGATTTGTAGAAAGAAAAAATATTATCAATCATTTCACAGATGGAGCGTGGAAATGTTTATTCAATTTAATGATGAAAATTACAATGTCTGGTTAGGTAGTCATGACCATACATTATATAACGTGTTTGAAATGTAATAGTCAATAGTTAGGAAACTTATCAATCAACAAATAATTGCATTACCTAATGTAATTACGATTGAATGTGCTATTAACGCGAACGTACTGGTAGGTTACGCAATCTCAATAAGTACTGTTTACAAATAAAAGGTTTGTTTTACCGAGATTATTTACTAAACAACGATAAAGTATATAAATTAATACATCATCGAAGAGATATTTTTGAACTAAGTCTGCATATAAGCATAATAACCCTGCCACAGCAAACCTGCAGACTAACCAAATTTCCTCTTTGGATTTGCACTAAAATATTTCTCTACAAATGTTAGTTTTCTTCATTATTTTAATAACATCAGGTTTAACGAGAGCTTATGTTTGCTACTACAGGAAACAATGATATTTATGAATTAAACGGGTGGGGTTTTTGGCCTCTGGGGACATCAAAATTAAAAAACAAATCAGTCTGGGTTTAGGTCTTACCATGATACCCACAGTGATTTTTATCTATATATATAAAATCCAATGTATGTATGTATGTTTGTTTGTTTGTTTGTTTGTTTGTTTGTCCTTTATGGACTCCGAAACCGCTTGACAGATTGTAATGAAACTTTCAGGGATTATTAATCATTATTCAAGGATGGTTTGTGTGAAGTTTGGTGCAGATCCGTCAAAAGGGCTCCGCCCCAGTGGCTCTGGAGTTTCCCATGTTAACCTTAATGAGTACTCATATTTAAATGGAATTAATGAATCTTAACAGCTGTTTCAATTAAACAAGTTGGTTCTGTTCTATGATGTTCAATAGCATTAAAGTTACAAGGATTGCCAACAGGGTGCAGGACTATTACTTTTAGCGAATTTCCCATATAGGGAATAAGCTATTACCGTAGTACTCATGGTAAGACCTGGACGCGGGACCGATTTTTTTTTTCGTTTTGAGGTCCCTAGAGGCCAAAAACACCATCCGTTCAAATTCATATATATATATATTTATATATATATTTATATATATATATATATATGTGTCCGTTAGCACGATAACTCGAGCAAAAATGATCCGATTTTGATGAAATTTGGTATAAACGTGTAAACCTACGTTTATTCGAACGAGTTCGCGATCCAGCATGATCGGACCATGGGAACGGGGGTTTACGGGGGGTTTTATGGGGTAAAAATAGGTTTTTCCCATTTTTGACCCAAAAAACATAAAATTTAGCAATTTCTTTCCAAACCATTTTGTAGAGCTTAAAAAAACAAATAATTTAGTATTTTGAAGCGTTATTATGCGCCAAATAGTTACGGAGAAAATTCAAAAAAATTGTAAATTGAAAATTCCCATGTTATTCTTATGGAGAATAAGTAAACTGTTGTAGTTTGCTTGTTTATGAACATATTTTGATCAAATTTGGAAAATGTTTTTATTTCTTACTAACTATTAACATTTTACAAAAAAAAACATTTTTACCCTCCCTGATGCAGCAAACCTAAGTACTTGTTAAACTAATTCTATTTAAATCGGGAATAAATGTTATATTTGTAAGTAGACATTTCAGTGTAACAAATCAAATCAGTCAAATGGAAATTCGCTTAGTCTGCAGGTTTGCTGCGGCGGGGGTATTTTTTATTTATGGCAGCAGCTAATTTGTAACCAAAAGGTGAGTGAGCGTAGCGAACGAACTTCAACCTGGAGGCGAGTTAGCGTAGCGAACGAGCTAACCTGAAGGCAACCTAAAAGTGAGTGAGAGTAGCGAACGAACTTCAACCTGGAGGCGAGTTAGCGTAGCGAACGAGCTAACCTAAAGGTGAGTGAGCGTAGCGAACGAACTTCAACCAGGACGTGATTGAGCCATTTGAACGAGCTCACTTATGAAGTTAAACGGGACAAAGCCCGCGGGTACAGCTAGTTCTCTATAAGACAAACCCACTAAAAAGTTACAAAATGCTACAAACTAGAAAGACTCCGTAAAATATTAAACGTTTATTCATTAACACTCGAAAATAAGCCAAGCGGAATCGTTTACAGTGAGAGAATTTGTTTAAACGTTTTGAGTAATTGGATTCTGCCATTAATCTTAACATATGGCTCTTTTCAACTAAACCAATAATTTATGTTTTAAATTATTATAGCTATTTATATTCAGTCTGTTGATGGAAACTAATAGTTAACGTTGAAACACGATGTAATTTATAGCATGTAATTAGTAAAACTAAGTTAGTGTTAGGTACAAGGTTTACTCAGAGACTAAAATTAAAATACTATTCCATGTTTTATGTAGTTGATTAACACTAAAAGCTTATTTAAGGAAAAAAATCAAATACTGGACAAACTAGAGAAGATTTGAGTCAATTATATTTCAGTTTCTTATAGAATTTCGTAAAAAAAGGAATTCATCAAAATTGCTGGATAACATTAAAACTATCAAGTACAACCGCGCTTGATATATTATATTGGAGAATATATTTAGACTATAGTATTCAATTAGTCTAATTACAATATTGGTACTTTGCTTCCAATCAGAACATGTTTCTATGAATGTGTTTTCACCTCGTTGGAATATTCCAATACCATTCGTGGTTATCGACAATTTCCCTGAGTTTATTCAAGTTCAACACACCATAAAACGAACCCAATGGCGTCGATTTACTGATTATCGTCCCATATTTACTTTAGGGCCACATTTTGGCTTCCGAGGTTTTATGGTTTATGTGGCTTCAGCATTCAATGTATGAAACTTTCGACCTAAAGATATATAGCGGAACAAGAGGGACAGTCATTATAATTCCCCTAAAGAAGTTATTTTTTTTAAATTTTGTACCCTGCAAATAAGCAGACCTGCAACAGCAAAGACATAATTAAATTAATTAAAGCTTTAACTATTGATAGACGTGGACAACCCAATCCCATATTAATGTTGTAATTTTGATAAACGGACTTTTTTTATTAATTTTTATTTGTTACTTCAAGTTCA